ACTGCAATCGATCAGTCTCTCATTGGCATATGTGCATACTGTCAGTATTGCCTCGATGTTGTGTGCAGTAACAAGCATAATAAGCTAACATGGATGGTTGCTTACATCAAATTTTGGTTGTTCCCACTTGTCTGTTGTCGTTCACTACATTACTAATTTGAAATGTATATTATCGTGAAAGTAATAGTTACCCTTCATCCTTTAAAATTTGTTGACTAGAAATAACCAAATATTTGTTGCATGTGATCCATGTCTATGTAAGCAGTAGTACAACATTCTTTGTAATAGATATTTAGATAAAATGATTGTTGTGTTCTTTCTTAATGTGGAGGGCTAAAACCTTTGCTAGTAATGGGCAAATTCATTGTATGGTAAAATCTAAAATAATCTCTCACATGACCTACAAATTCATAGTCAACATTGAGAACGTCTTCAAATAATTAGACGTGTGGTGTTAGTATTGTGTATTTAAATAATAAATAATGGGAAAATCTAATGTCATGTTAAAACAAATATCATTGTGTATGTCCAATAAGTAATGTATCAACATCACTGATTTTCAAATACCGAGTTGTTTTACTTAAACATCTCAAGTAGTTTGACTACATTGGGTTTTTTTCAATGTTTGAGATCATGAGTCAGGTGAAACTAGAATTTCATGAGAAACCTGAAGTCAAAGGACGGCCGTTTCCTCCCAGTATGAGACTCTTCCGCACTGCACATACACTAACTCGCCTCAAGAGCTTCCAACTCAAAATGTACTAGTCTGGCACTAAAGTGCTTAACCACTAGACCAACAAAGAGTCCGTCCCATACTAGGACGAAATGACTGTGCGCAAATGTCTTCCATGGTGGTCCAGACTCAATTGACTCAACACCTCAACTGATAAAAAAATTCGTTTTAAAAATATGTGCAACTCGATATGATGCGTAAGTGTTTAATTTAACTGATAGGTTGTATGTGTTGGAACATATCATATAATGAATATTTAACATCAACCGATAGCATGAAGTTAGATATAATCTCTTTAATTTCACCGTTATAATCGACAAGTACGAGTCTCCTTTTCCTAAAATCTACGAGTATTTTATGGGTTTGAAGAAAATCATAAATTGGCGATTTCTCCTCTTGCATGTGTGAAACGAGTGATTTCTGATCCGCTTGTAGATTCTATCGATTATGTCCGCTAGCCTACCAAAATCAACAACTTTGTCTCTAATTGCTTGTATACATTGAATATTTTGAGGGAGACATCTGGACCGCAATTGATATAATAGACATTTATCTACTATACAATTCACCAATACATTTGTCATGCGGCTCTACACTAGCTGAAATTTGATCAGTTGTCTGCTGGTCGGTGGGAGATGTAACACGAATGACCTCTTTTTCTAGGCAATCGTATGGTGAGTCTGGATCTGGCTTCAAAATGACGTCACGCACCTGTTCAATAACGTCAGCGACGAGTTTGCGTATCCTGATTTCGTGCACTGACTCGTGATTCTCTTTGCATCAAAAACGCTTGTTAAGCGTGCAAAACACAGTTCAGCATTTCGAGGGTCAAACACAGGTAAACGTACACAGATGGCACCCACAGAAAGACTTAGATGAAAGTCTTAATGAGTTATCAAGCGGCATGATACGAACAAATAATATTAATAGCAATAGTGATAATAAGCTAGAGAACTGAAATATACAACGTGAGGAAATGACAAAAAACAACTAGAAACGTTTATGAGAGACTCACCAAGAACAAGATCTGTAACCATGGGTTTCAATATGCGGTTATACAGCAATAATTCCAAAGGAACCATGTTATGAGTAAAGTTGTTTATCATATGATTGGAGAATATGCAGCACAATTTGCAGAGAAATGCATGTATGTTCTAGATGCAATTCACCAAATTTGTTGACATGAATGTCCTCTATATCCGACTACAATAAAAATAGTATCCCAATTAACTGAGTATCTGAGTAATCCAGGTTAAATTTCATAGTAGAAAGATGGATTTACTCGAGAATAATTAAAAGCCCGAACATATCAGTTATAGAAATAGTTTATTGTTAATGAAGAGTAAAATGCACAAGCGTGACGGAAACAAGTACACAAGGAAGTCCATATATATTTATGAATACTAATCGATTGTTGATAAATTATTGATTATCTCAGTGTTGCAACCAATGAAAGAACCGACTGAGGATTTGTACCGAAGCGTTGGGTCGCAGTTAACTATGAACACCGCTACGGAAAAACACGTGCCAGGATATCCATAAAATCCCCCGGAAGCCAAATATCAGAAGGCAGTTAATGGGACAAATCGAGATATATTTGCTGGCGAACTCGTGGTATCGAAAGAACACAGAGATCGTGCCAGGAAACAAGCTTGATTACAGAGCGTAACCCAGTTTGCGCGAGGTCACAATCAAAGTGTAAGAATAATGATGGAAGCACAATATAGCTGTCATTAGCACAGTCAAACAAAGAGCACATTAAAGCAAGCACTGGTGCAGTTGGTAATAAAAATAATTCTTTTCATCAAACCAATCGTGTTCTCGCGATAAAAGTAAGTCACTACAATTCAATGAACTGAACAATACACTTTAATGACAAATTTGATCCATGTTTGACAAAAATATTATGACTGAGGAAGCGAAATAACCTTTATTTGTTTCCCATTGGATAGCATTTTCATTTGTATTACATGACAGGACAATAAATGATCGTATTGAAATCTATATATATGTAATCATTTCAACTCAAATATCAGTACAAAGAGTCAGAGAATACATATGCGCCACACAGATCACTTGATCTGTGTGTGGGCTGTGATAATGTGCGGGTGGCCAGACCGAAGATGGTGGTTTAGTTAGGGTAGCATACACCCGGATTCAAAGAGCAACGTCAGCATCTCATGACAGCTGGTGACCGACAATTGGTTCGTATAACATTTGTTACCTTAGGATTTTGGAGCTCATATACATCTTTACACAACCTAATACTTATTGCGTGGCGCATGCGTATTGGGTGCCTCCTTGTACCAATGTTTGTGTTCAGATAAATATATATGCTAAAATAGTGTGATAACTTGAACAGATCTACAGATTTATCAGGTACTAGTTTGAACATTACCACTTGACTGATTTAATACCAGTGAATCAATAACAACGTAACAATCGTTAACAACGTAGAACTTCGTACATACGTAATTCACTTCGAGTTGACATACCACACTAGCAAAGTTCAGATGGCCTTTAGCTACTCTACAACTACCCTCCGTTCCCAGATAGTGTGAATGGAACATTAACGTAAGTCTTCCAACTCTAGCTGAAGTTCAAAAGTTTAAAGTTAAACTGGAACGAAGGATGCAGTTGGTCCAGTTGGATTGGCTCCAGAAGTCTTTAGTGATAATGGTCCAAATCCAGCGATTAGGTTGACTAATAGTTTAGCTAAAATCTGAGAGTTAGACGTTATCCCATCTGACTGGTCGCAATCACTTATCGTCCCAATATATAAGAGAGAGTTAAAATCATCCTGTGACAACCACAGAAGGATTAGTTTAACAAATATAGTATCTAAAATACCAGTCTCGATAATTATCGGACGCCTAACTAAGACTCGTGAACTGCAAACACGAGAGAATCAAGCAGGCTTCAGACTTGATCGTGACTGCATCGATCACATATTCACCAGTCGTCAGGTTCTAGAACATAGACATACTTATCGGCGTTCGACAATGGTGGTCTTTCTTGACTTAGAAGCAGCATTTGAATCGGTAGACTGCGATATTCTGTGGCAGTGTCAGTCATTGAATGGCGTACATCAGAAGAACATAAACATTGTGAAGGCGCTTTACTCGAACACTATTAGTCGAGTCAGAGCTTATGGTGAACCGTCGTCCACTTTTGCAACTTCAAGTGTTGTCAGTCAAGGCTGTTCATTTTCCTCATTTCAGTTTAACTGCATCATAGAAATCCCGATGGAAATAACATTCTCTTCGACTGAATTCTCGTGCATTGTTTTTTTCCAGGAGGTACACTTATCGACTTAGAATAACCAGATCACATAGTTCTGTTTGGTGAAGACGCTGACAAAATGAAGTTTTCTGGTAACAATTAGCAGCAATGCCAGGATATTTGGAATGCTCTTCTTCCTCTCTAAATTTACGTTTTTGCGTCAAAACTGGTCTGGGTGTGAGGTAGTCGAACGCGTTGATAACTCTGCTTATCTCGGAAATGTGATCAGCCCTAATGGGTTGATGTCTGAAGAAATCTCATCACAGATTGGAAAATGCAACTGAAGTCACCTATGGCGAAGGCACGATATTCATCTATCAATAAATAGACGAGTATACTGCTCAGCAATCTGTTTTGTTCTACGTAACAGCTGTAAAATGTGGTCATTTAGAGTAAAAGATACTCGTAAGCTACTAGTATTTGATCACAGATGCTCTAGAAATATTGTTCACATCTGCTGTTATTAACGGGTTAGTATTAGCGGTGTAAGAACCAGGGTATATATGGAATGATGTCAAATCAATTGATGAGGTTTCGAATCCTCATCAACTAAGAAGTAGGGCCACAAGTTAACTATTTCTGAACCTAGCGGTCAAACAAAACGTGGGATCTGTGTTTGAAGTCACAAACTTCCTATCTGAGCCATGTTGAGAGATGCTAAATACTTGAGTTGGCTCCGCGTGACTATCGTAGCAAGTGTTTGAAGACTCTGGGTGACGTGCTTCAGAACGGAACACAATGGTGTAGGTGTATACACTTTCTGTCTACCCTAATACTATCACATTGAAATCGCCTCATATCGTTCCACCAACAAATTCTTTCCTACTGTACTATTCCCTTATATGCGATCTTTCCCTTTTAAACGAATATTTTAAATCCAGGAACCTAATTCAAGAGGTGAACGTCTATTTAACAGAACATCTATTATAAATAACAAATTAGTTTACAATAATATTCAAACATACAAAAACATTCAATCAAATACCATCTATTCATAATGTCCAATCATTGAGTTATTCATTATCTTAGTGCACGGATGACAGTCGATGAATGAATTTAAACAAAATTGTAAACTGATATTTAGTGCGATATATTCATAAGACCGTAAGAAAATAATGTACATTACACCACAAAACTGTTTTTCACTGCATCTATCCAAATAATATGCTGTGTATAAAATCACCTGTAATAATCAAAACATAGATGAATAACTCATTAGTATCAGAAGGGAGTTTTGTGGATATTATATTAGTCTCATAATAGTTTGCTCGCGAGATCAATAGGCTTTGTGTTCGAATTTCGCGAGGTTGGATTGTGGATGCACACTGCTACTGAGGAGTCCCGAAATAGGACGAAACAGCCTTCAAGTGCTCTCACGTTTTCCATGGTGGCCTAGCTTCAATTCACCATTTGATTATTGATGTATTCACATCAAAAAATTTATCGGTGAAATAATAGGCATTTACAGACATAGGATTAACAACTTGCTAATTTCTATACATTCATACATAACAAATGAACAGTAAGTATCTAGCATTTTGATCTATCAATTAATGAGCCACTCAATTAAAGAAATGAGTTAAACTATAAATACTTCACCACTCAATGTCTTGCTTTCAGCCATCCTTCAAAGTGCTTCATGATGAATTATTGTTGGATGTTCTGGATAGAAAACACTAATGCTTCAAAGTCGTAATTTCCACAGAACCACATCTTTGAATGCATAATAATCAATGGACAGTTGTATTTTTGTATTTACATTTTATTATTTATTCAGAACTTACAATTACCATTATACAGCACCAAAAAATCCAGGATACACCTAGTACAATATACTGAAATAAAGGAAAGAAAACAATTCACTTCAATTCATCATGTATCTTTATCAATATCAGTGAATAAACAGTATTACACTACCAATTAACTATACCGATTTTAAACTAACATGTAGCTGATTGACTGACTGACTTTATGTGAGAGTTCAGTCAGTCTGTTATGCTGAATTTCCACATCATGTACCCATTTTGTCTCATACTTGACAGTTGTTTAAACAACGAATAAGCTTCTTTAATGGCTGTATGATGAAAGATTCAAGTTAGTCATTTTAAGAATATAAAGTCACTGTAGGAGAAACTACTACGGTGCGTATATGAGGTTCTGGGCCACAAATATTACCATCACAAGGGAAAGATCACTGAAGATATACTGAATAAGATTTAAGATAAGAGGGAACAAGGAGGCAACAATCAATATCGGCGGAACAATAGCAGAGAAAGTTAAAGAACAAGTTGAAAAGACAGCAGTAAACAACTAACTGAAGAAGAGAATCAGAACCAACAAATGTAAATATGTAAATATTATTTTAAAATATATACCCCCCGTTCTACAAGATCATTTACAAATAGTTCCTTGTCAAAGTGAAAAGTAGCATCAAAACCGACAAACGTAAGTATGTGAAAGATTAAGCATTGTCGGCTGAAAAAGCTGCAACAGGAGGAAACATTAGACAAATTTATAGTACACCAAAGAAACTCGTTGGAAATTATCTTTAACTAGAAGGACTAGTGGAAAGCTAGGAAGGCAAAATAATCACCGACATCAAAGAACAGCAAAACAGGTGGGTAGAACACTTCAAAGAACTCTTGAATCGACCAGCTCCACTAGTCCCACCCATCATCGAAGCAGCACTCGCGTACCTCCCAATTGATGTTGGCCAAACAACAATTGAAGAAATCAGCATGGTCACCAGACAAATCAAGAGTAACAAAGCAGTAGGACCAAACAGCATTCAAGCAGAGGCACTGAAAGCAGACGTAGCAGCAACTGCAAGGATACCCCACATTCTCCTCTGAGAGATTCGGGATGAAGAAGTACCAACAGACTGGAAGAAGGACTTCCGATCAAAATACCAAAGAAAAGCGATCTCAGCAAGTGCGAGAACTACAGACGCATCACTCTTCTCTCAATATCATTAAACGTCTTCATTGGAGTATTGTTAAAAAGAATGAAGGACTGCGTAGACACCCAACTTCGAGACCAACAGGCTGGATTCCGTAAGGATCAGTCAATTACAGAACAAATCGCAACTCCACGGATCATTTTGGAACAATCAGTTAAGTGCAATTCATCACTCTACATCAACTTCCTTGACTAAGAAAAAGCATTTGACAGCGTGGACAGAACAAAACTGTGGAAGCTTCTTTGACCCTACAACGTGCCTGAGAAGACAGTCAATATCATACAGGATTCCCATGATGGATTAAACTGCAAAATTGTAGAATGAGGACAGTTGACAAAGTCGTTCAAAAAAAGACCGGTGTCAAGCAAGGTTGCTTACTCACACTCTTTCTCTTTCTCCTGGTGATCGATTGGATCATGTGGACGTCAACATCTGGGTGGGGAAGCACGGGATACAATGGACATCTAGGATGCAACTGGACGATCTAGACGTCGCAGATGATCTGGCTCTTCTGTTGCACATGCATCAACAAATGCAGGAGAGGAACAGCAGTGAAGCATCAGCCCAAGCAGCAGTAGGTCTCAAAATACACTAAGGAAAAAGCGAAATTCTCTCATAAAGCAAACAGAGCATGCACCGATGCAATCAAAATTGACGGAGAACATTTGAAACATGTTAAAACCTTTACGTATTTGTGCAGCATCATTGATTAACACGGAGGATCTGATGCAGATGTGAAGCCAAGGATCAGTAAAGAAATAGCATCATATTTACAACTGAAGTACATCTGGAACTCAAAACAGTTTTCTGTCAAACAACACCATGGTTGCGATGTTCAATAGAAATGTCAGAACGAGTCTGCTTAACGGGATAGAAACCTGGAGAACTACGAAATACATCATTCAGAAGATTTAGGTGTTTTTTAACAGGTGTTTGTGCAAAGTAATTCGGATCTGTTGGCCAGACACTACACTATCAGCAACAACCTACTGTGGGAGAGAACAAATCAGAATTCAGCGGAGGAAGAAAATCAAAAAGAAGCGATGAAAGTGAATAAGACACACATTTGCAAACACATCCATCTGCGTTGCAGTGCAAGCCGTCATCTGGAATCCTTAATGCCAAAGAAGAAGAGGAAGACCAAGGAAAACATTACTCATAGAAATTTGGACAGACATGAGAAAAATGAACAAAAACTGGATAGAACCAAAAAGTAAGGCTCAATGGAGAATTAGTTGGGTAATGCTGGAATGCAGCCTGTGCTCCACTAGGAGTAACAAGCGTAATTACGTCAGTAAGTCAATCAGTAAGTAATTGGATGAAAGTATCATTGTTTGAAGAAAACACTGTGCTTTTCACTACAGCAGCGAAATGATGTGAATAAACGTTCAATGTGGTTAAACATGTATTAAAAGACAAAGAATTGTTTGGAATATTCCTCAATGAAATATAAATTGAAAATGTATTTCTGCTTCGGTGTAGGAAACTGTTTTGTCCCGATAAGAATAATGAGTGTTAATGTTTTGGTACCAAGTTATGGACAAACGCTATGCGTATATTTTTGTCGTATAACCGTTAATTAACTAAAATATTCATGTTCGTGTCTCTGTTATCATTAGCTATATTTTAGCCTATAAACTGCTACGATACGGCTTTCTATTCTTGAGTTACTCTCTGTATATCAATCACTATCTCAAAATTTCAAAGCAACTTTTTGCTGCATTATGTACAAATGTTGTTTCCTCTTTTCTGGTTAGATGTAGTCTGTTTGATTGATATATAAATAGAGTATATTTGAAATACATTATTCATATTGCAGTGGCTTAGACTGGTGTCCTGAGCTTAACTAGGTGGTCTAGGTGGAGAGAGGACCGATCTAGACTCTAGAGTGCTCGCACGTGTTTTACGCTTCCTTGGTCCTATCGATAATTCGCTGCTTCTGATTTGCGGCTTTTCGCTGTAAGAGAAACTTTTCACCGGTATTCACGATTAGCGTATTTTTTTGAGAAAAACTGTAGCTATTCAAGGAAACCATTAGCAAATCAATAATAATCACTAATTACAACTAGTTTGTGCAAATCCATGATTAGACAAACTCACGTTGAAAAGTGCCGCCCCTACAATCAATAAAATGATTCCGATTCCCCCAAACACACACCACATCGAGAACAAGATTATCTCCAATTTCCCTTCTGGAACTCGTAGCTTCACACCCAATGAAATCGCTAAGCTGGTCAACGTGGTATCCACAGTTACAGAAATAATTATTTCATACCATTTTGTATGTAAATTCAGTAACGCAACATCAATGATCAAAATTATCAACTGAATAGGGAAAACGTAGTATCATCAAATTAATTACCATTAATTTTAAAGTTGAATCGGTAAACTATTGCACAAATAATGAAAGAATAATCTTCACTGTCCTGCATTTGATTGAAATGCTTAACAATGAATAGTTATGGATACAAGCACCACATAACAAGGAATCTCTATCCATGTCTATCATAATGACAAACTTGAAATATCTTCAAAGCTAATTCGCTCATCCATTACACATGACCATTTTATATGAGGTTTCTCACCTGAACGGTGTGAATTATACCAATTTGAGTAAACCAACAACTACGACAGCTAGTAATGTCTGCGACTTGAAGCATTATATGATGACTTGTGTTTCATAGAACAAACGTTCAGTGATAGACAAAGTGTGTGGATGATTATACCAATGAAAATGACACAAATCCAATTTGTTTAGTTGTTCTGTGTTAACAACTCATTCCACATCTTGCCAATGGTTATGACAACAAACGTAGATAAGAGTAGAATGTACCGGTATTATGTGTAACCATGTCTACTCATTTCTCAATTGTCCATAACATGGACAGACAGATACCTTCTAACGTTATATTATTTTCGCCAGTTATCAGTTAAGTAATAGCTCATGGTCAGACCGGATAAATAATATACATCAAAATTGTTATGAAATCTGTGAAGCTATAGAAACTTGGTCTCTACACATCATGTCATCTTAAAATGAAATACAACGTTCAAACTCATCTATTTAATTTAACCTTCAAGGATCATTTCATCCTGATCACCGTTATCAAACGAACATGACAACATTGTCTTATTATTCACCAAACAACACTACACTAAATTCAACCGATAGTTGGATGAAACTATCATGAATGTAATATTAAAACCATATTCAACTGACCGTTATAACCATGATGATACTGTTCATTATGGATGTAGAATGTAGTTTCTTAATCAATATGATTAATAATCCGACAAATAAACCTATCAATCTGAAAAACGAAGCAAATAATAAGTACAATGTAACTAACGCACAGACACAACAGATCATAGTAATATGCATCAAATTTTTCTACACAATATGTATGTATAAAATGGTTGAACAAGTTCCTCACCTACTACTCAGTTCAACATTATCGAAAGTTTGTAAAACTTTTCAAAATAACCGATAAGTGGAATATGTAAGAATTGATCTCTTGAATATTTCACTTCATCGCCCAAATGCCTTGGTACGCCAATAGTGTAGAGAAATAGCTCTCCCTCTCGAAATGCTCTCACATGGACACGCATATACACCCACTAGCATGGAAGAATTAATCACCGCATTCTTGTGGTGTATGTATACATAAAATGGTGGAATATGTTGCTCAACTTCCTGGTTCGACATTTTCGAATGTTTGCAAAACTTTTCAAAATAACCAATAAGTGGAATATGTAAGGATTGATCTCTGATATATTTCATTTCATACTTCAACGCCTTGGTACGGCCGATGGTCGAGAGTATTGGCTCTTCCTCTGGAAATGCTCTCACATGGACACGCATATACAGAGACTACCATGGAAGGTTTAATCACTGTCTTCTCGTTACTGGGGTGTTGTTTACGAAATTCAGAGGATTGAAAGCGAATGTCGTGCTTTTTGACTGCGTTAGTGTGTGTGTGAAATCCATTAGAGAAAGTTATTAAAAACCATGATATCAAATCGTTTATGTATATGAGCTTCAAAATCCTAAGGTAACAAATGTTATACGAACCAATTGTCGGTCACCAGCTGTCATGAGATGCTGACGTTGCTCTTTGAATCGGGTGTGTGCTACCCTAACTAAACCACCATCTTCGGTCTGGCCACCCGCACATTATCACAGCCCACACACAGATCAAGTGATCTGTGTGGCGCATATGTATTCTCTGACTCTTTGTACTGATATTTGAGTTGAAATGATTACATATATACATTTCAATACGATCATTTATTGTCCTGTCATGTAATACAAATGAAAATGCTATCCAATGGGAAACAAATAAAGGTTATTTCGCTTCCTCAGTCATAATATTTTTGTCAAACATGGATCAAATTTGTCATTAAAGTGTATTGTTCAGTTCATTGAATTGTAGTGACTTACTTTTATCGCGAGAACACGATTGGTTTGATGAAAAGAATTATTTTTATTACCAACTTCACCAGTGCTTGCTTTAATGTGCTCTTTGTTTGACTGTGCTAATGACAGCTATATTGTGCTTCCATCATTATTCTTACACTTTGATTGTGACCTCGCGCAAACTGGGTTACGCTCTGTAATCAAGCTTGTTTCCTGGCACGATCTCTGTGTTCTTTCGATACCACGAGTTCGCCAGCAAATATATCTCGATTTGTCCCATTAACTGCCTTCTGATATTTGGCTTCCGGGGGATTTTATGGATATCCTGGCACGTGTTTCTCTGTAGCGGTGTTCATAGTCAACTACGACTTGACGCCACACTACAGAATGAAACTTAATAGTATTACATGGAAAATTGTAGTTGTGATTTCTGGGGAATGAGTGTATTTTAAACATATATGACTTACGTTAATATGATTGCACTGAGAACAACTGGATCTGTATACCAAAAAAATCTGAATCTGTCGAATGGAATGATAAATGTCTTACATGCAAGTAGAATTATCCTGACAGGTTACATTTGACACATTATCAAATGCCAATTTCATCACCGTTTAATTATCCGCGATGGTGATTATTCAACAATTCACCTTTGAAAACTCACCTTCCACAATCACTAATTCCACGTTTAACTGAAATAAGTAAGAGTTCTCAATAATACACTGACGGAGATAAATAACTACATTGATTACATAAGACATTAAATATTCATTCACATGCCTATTTCTTTCCTCATTCATCATTGTTTTTCAGCAAGTTTGGATTCATCGACAGAATTTGAATTCCATCTGACTGGTTCGCTGTATCATTTTCACGAGATGTCATACAATGGAAGCATTATCGTCCTCCCATCTTCTATGGAAAACACTTTGTTAGGTAGACTGATTATCCTAATGTGTATACTACGAGTGAGGATTTCTAACTCTTCATGTCATCTTGAAATGAATGCGTTTTTGTACTTCAAGGAACGACGGTATGTTATTAATAATCTCATAAGTAATACTTCAAAATGCCAACTTGTTATTTTTAGCCTAAGAGAATAAGAGTCTGCTCTTATCGTCCTCTCTCACATCCTTTTATTGAGAGAACGATACCTCGACTTCGCCAAAGGTGACGTAAGTTGGCGAAACCCAAACGAGCTTTTTGAATCCGTTGCGAGATTTCGTCAGACAACAACCCATTATGAATGATCACATTCCCAAGATGAGTGGAGTTGTCAACGCATTCGACTACTTTACTCCCTATCCTTAGTTCTGGTGTTCACGCAGACCATTCCTAAAACAGCAACTTGCATTTAGAGGGAGAAAAGCGCATCACAAACATTCTGGCATTGTTGCTTAGTGATACCAAAAAACTGCTTTTTATCAGCATCTTCACCAAACAGGACTATGTCATCTGCGTATTCTAAGTCGATAAGTGGACGTTCTGGTAGGAGATGAATGCTACTGATAATACAACTTATCAACAAATCTAAACTCATACACTTTGATAGAAATTGATAAACTTACATGGAATTATTCGAATGTTCAGTATTAATAACGACTCAGTAAAATTACAAAACTTTATGGCGAAATTCATCAATCGCTTCAATGAACTTTGGTTAAGCGAACATTTTAAAAAACAACAGAATAAGTGATTTGGTTACAAATTGATATGATGGAATCAAAAGTCAATTTACGATTTGATTTACTCATTATGAGTTTTTGTTCAAAATTACTTCGGTTTTGATTCAATGTTATAATTACTCAATGTAGGATTTCTTTTTTTTTTCTTGGATGATATTTTATTTCGTATAATATGCGACATGAAATTTGCTCAGTATGTGATTTCATCTTAATTAATAATCAAAATGGATGTACAATCAATACGTAACTGAGTAACTTTTCTACTGGAGTTGTCTTCGTCGTCATCATTGTGTTTTTGAGTTAATAAATAATCACTTTAACCAGTCTTTGTGTTCCTACATTCGCGTCGTGCGATGTGCAGAGTACCCTCGTTCCGAATATAAGCAATCAGCGTATTTCCGACATAACAATTAGCGAACAGCAGATACAAATGTTAGCATTGAAAAGCCAAGACAATAAGCTTTCAAACCACAAATTATAACAGAAATAGAACAAACTGCATTTAACGGTCAATTTATTGAGAACAAATAAGTGATTGCACTTTGGAATAAAGATAATTAATGATCTTATTGATCCGATAAGCTCAATAACCGAATGGAGACTCTACATAGTATGCACGTCAGATAAGACACAATATATTTCTATTCCTTGATAAATTGATTAGTTTATTTGATCGTAATCGTCACATTTTGTACAGCATGAATATATATATATATATATATATATATATATATATATATATATATATATATATATAAAGTGAATGCTACAGTAATTCGTTGTGGAAACCTTAACCTAGATTTCATGTCAGCACGCCGTCGTCAGCAAGATGTAAGTGCAATCTTGAGGAAAGTGATGCTTTCTATTACGTGTCTACCAGCCTCACAATTGGAGACGTTGTCACTGAACTACTCTCTCGCTCTCGTTCTCTCTATGCATATAGGCTGAACAATTGTATACAGGAATGCTGTATGTCAACAATTCGGAATTTTCTACTTCTTGGATTTTGCCTTATGTGATTGGTTATGTGCTTGTTTACACACAAAAACAGGTTACCATTAAGCTTGGTCTTACCCTACTGGTTAAAACTGAGAGCTGTCACTTAGTTAAATTGATAGGTTATTTTCCACCATTTCCGTGTAAAGTTAGCTAACCATCATTTGTGTTTATCTCATGAAGAGGTCACACGAGCTGATGTAAACATTGTAAATTTCACTTAGTCCTTTATGAATATTTCAAATAAACACATACACTTCATGCCACACAAATAATAATTATGCTTCGAACAATCAGTACTGTAAGAGAATTCCAATCATCTGATATGGATACATCATGACTACGTCTACTCGAATATTCCATAGATCTTAACAAGCTGTTGTGAAATGTGATACGACGACAACGAATTTCCCATCAACAATCGCAAACAATCCAACTTAAAAACAAACGTCACTGATCATGAATAAATCAACACGTCACTTAGTGTACAGCTGACTACGGTGAACCGAACACAACAGGATCATGTAGGTCAAATTCACCTATTTCATGTTAATAACGAAACGGACTTCGTAACCAGTAATTAGTCATGAAAGTCTATTACCCATTGTTCATCAGTGTTGGTAGTTCACTGAACTTTAATATCGTGATCAATAATATGTGACTGTTATGATCATTGTTCTTGTTGAAATTTGTAAAAAATGGAAAATGTGCATTCATTCATTGTGTAGATTGAAGTGTTTATATCAATGTCAATATATTCCACAATATCATCTATTCATATTATTCAATCTTCCCATTTAAACTCAATTTATTCTAGACACTTTCACTTTCGAGTATTATGTAAAGTTGTTTCGTTCCAATATTAATAACAGTATAGCAGATCATAGTCAGTACGTCAAACCATGAAATTCGTGTTCATTTGCTGTGATATTTGTTCTTTACTACTCATTCAAGTGTTTACAAATGAGGAAAGTTGTATGAATCATAAGTAACATTAAGTTCACTTGATATTCTTTACTTGAACCTTCACACTGATGTTTGTGACTGCAATCGATCAGTCTCTCATTGGCATATGTGCATACTGTCAGTATTGCCTCGATGTTGTGTGCAGTAACAAGCATAATAAGCTAACATGGATGGTTGCTTACATCGAATTTCGGTTGTTCCCACTTGTCTGTTGTCGTTCACTACATTACTAATTTGAAATGTATATTATCGTGAAAGTAATAGTTACTCTTTCATCCTTTAAAATTTGTTGACTAGAAATAACCAAATATTTGTTGCATGTGATCCATGTCTATGTAAGCAGTAGTACAACATTCTTTGTAATAGATATTTAGATAAAATGATTGTTGTGTTCTTTCTAAATGTGGAGGGCTAAAACATTTGCTAGTAAAGAGCGAACTCATTGTATGGTAAAATCTAAAATAATCTCCCTCTTTAGCTGCGAATTCAATGTAGAATAACACATATAAGCGAACAATATTATTTTGAATTAGATCGTCATCAGGCCTTTACTCTAATATAGATGAATATTTATACGAAAATGTTAAACCAATCAAGGCAATATGAGTCAATAATCACAATGAAATAAAATAAGTCTCTAGGTAAAAGTACAAGTTGATAGTAGGAAGACAGGTGAACTGATAATAGTGAGAATAATAAAATACAATAACAAAACTCTTATCAATAGTTAAATATTAGGAATAGAAGGTCAAGTAAACATGGGTAAATAGACTAGGAATAGTAATCATAAAACATTAACATCATTACGTAATAAGATGTGTGTAAATAATTAGATAGTGTAGCATACAAAGAGGCGGAAAATTACAAATAAATAATGGATTTGAAAATAAGGTGAATGATAACAAAATAGAATAAAATTAGTAGATAATGATAATAATAAAATTTTAAAAATTTTAAAAAAATATCGTTAGTTAAATTATAAGGGGACATGGAAGGGATAGGGGGGTTTCGAATTTCTTTTGTACACATAAATTGGGGTTATATGTACGAATTCCAAGGCTTCAGCTGTATGAAGGAGGCGGGAACGAACTCTGTCGGGAAATGATGGAGGTACACGATAGATAACTCGAAATGATTTCGATTTATCTACAGCATCACCACTATCAATGAGTTGTGCCAAGAAAGAACTGCGAATGGATCTTACCTGGCCCTTTATGTACCAAGTTGGTAGATGTTCACTCATTCGTTGGCTAAGTTGCTAGGTGGTACGCCCTATATAACTATCTCCACAGGAGCAGCTGAATTTGTAAATGCACATAGAAGAGGCCAACTCAGGTAACTTATCATTCGTTTGAGTAGACATCGCTGGTCGACAGGAGAAAGTCAACGCAAGATTGGCTGCGTAGAATGTCCTGGTGATTACTTTAGTTCACCTATATTTCAGAGTATCACTCGCCACAACCCTGTTGAATTGTACTTTCATGTATAAAGGTTTCTTACGAACAGTCTAAATCTCCAACTTCTTTATTGCGTCACACATGTACTTCTTAATGAAAGCACTGTGGGAACCGATCTCGGTCAGTGAGTTGTTGATAAATCCAAGCTCCCGACTTAGAGTATCTACTGTACAGATCTTTTTTGCTCTGCTAGTGAGACATCTGACCGAATTTCTCTTGTAGCGGATAGGTGTGAAACTGCAGAGGTGAGCATATTTGGCATGAAGAAGGGTTTCTTCCATACACGCTTCTACTTAATATGCCGTCACTTCGTCTTCTTAGTGTGACGTCAAGGTAGTTCAGCTGTTTATCATGTTCGCTTTCACCAGTGAAAGTGATCGCTGGGTGAACACTGTTGAATTGTTCTAGGAGTCCCTCTTTACTGGTGTTTTGATCTACGATAATGAAGGTGTCGTCAATGTAGCGGCAATATAAATCAAGTTTCTTAATAGACTCATTAAGAGGTTCATTTTCTAGCTTTGCTAGGAAGAGATCAGCTAAAATCGGGCCTAGAGGCAAGCCCATGGCTATGTCGTCTATTTTTGTATAATAAGTACTGCTGAAGACAAAATATACATTCAGCGTGCATCTTAAAAGCAGTTCCTTTAGACTATGGTTAGACAAGCCAATGCTGATTTGTTTTTTTTATATAAACTCAATGGACTCTTTGAAGTAGTACGTTCGTGAACAAAGATCCCAAATCCAATGAGATCATATTTTTTATACAAACA